GTAGACAAGCCCTCTCTCGGCAATGTCTGGCACATGACCCGTGTACCTTCGCAGAAGCAGCCCCAAGCATTTCGCACACGACGCAGGTGAGCAGATGTATGAGATGATAACCACCGCTGGCGTCTGAACAAGGCTCGTGTCATCGTGCAGCTGGAACGCATCCCTGGCTTGAAAATGGCGAAAAGGAGGAGGGAAGAGTGAAGGAGGATAGAAAAGGAAGGGGGAGAAACAGGTAAGACGTGAAGGACGCGAGGATGAGGCTGCAAGTAGGGAACCATGGACTGAGAGCAAATGGAATGAAAGGCGGGGGGAACGAGGGGCAGGTGGATGATAAAGGAGCGAGAGAAGGGACAAGAAGGGACAAGGTAGAAGAGAGGAAGGCGAAAGATGGAGGTGGGAGGAAACGGGAGGATAATCAGCTTCCCAAGCGTGCTGTTCAGCGTCCCAGCAAGCGTCTCTCCCCTCCCCCCCACACACACACGTTTCTCACACTTGTGAGCTCCCCTGGCACGCTTTCTAGCGCCCTTGCCAGCGTCTCCGATCAGCGTTTTACGCGCTTTGGGCTGCGTCACTGTCCGGGTTTTGGACTGCACAAATCTAAGAGGGGAGATTGGAAAGGATGCGAGGGGAGGAGGCAGGGAAGCGTGGCGTGATGGCAGCATGGACACCAGGACGGATGGAGGAGGGAAGGATTTCCTAGAGGAGCAGGGGCCGTCCTCGGTCTTGCACTTCCTACGACGTATTCTGGGCGCAGAGAGGGATGGGGTGAAGTCGGGCCTGTCCCTGTACAGGAGGAATACGCAAAAATAGTTCAAACATAGTTTGGGACTATGTTCCTATACTGCTTTAATGTGTTTAAGCATGTTTGGCTATTTGGCATTTTCCTCCAAAATCCGCCTGTAGGAGGACTTGAGGATAGGGAACGAGGGAGGAACAACAAGGGATGATGAGGAGAACGAGGGAGAGGAAAGGAAGGCCGAGGGAGGGAGAAGGGCGGGAGCAAAGGAGCGACTGGTGTAAGGACGGGGAGAGAGGGAGAGGAGTTACGTGGAATGAACGATTACGAATGAGAAAAACCAGGAGCAGGAATACGGGAAGAACGACGAGGAGGAAGAGGAGGAAAATCTAAGAGAGGATGGCGCAGGAGGCGCCGTCAGTGAGGAGTCCTGACAGCAAGGAACCAACGGGTGGGGATGTCACAGCGTTGACTTCACTTTCCAGAAGCACTTCTTGGTAACAGCAGTATATGACAGCGGAAAAAAAGGCTGCATTGCCAATGTGTTGGCTGCGACATGCACGTTGTGCAAACGCGTAATGCTGCGCGTTTTCTTATTCGGCATTCCGACATTGGGCTGATGGGGGGAGGGGGGGGAATGTCTGGCTCAAGATCTCTGCATAGGGTGACTGTTTGCAACCGTGCGTCCTATGGGGGAGGGACTCCACCTGCTCGAAACAGGCGCCAAAACCAGCAAAGAGCTACTCCAGGGGGGGGGGAGGGGGTGATGCGAGGGTCCGCGCCGATCGGCAAAACGCTCACTGAAGCCATCAGGTCAAGGTCGAGCACATGCATGCCCTAGCGTACGTTGCAACACAGTGTCGAGGCCTTTCCCTCGAATCAAAAACCAACACAACGAGCATCGAAACGGCTACACCGCTCGAGGAAAAAGCGGCCAATGGCCGTGCGGCGTGTCTCGCCCTACTCCGTGGCCGAGTAGCCCCAGGCGTCCTTGATCGCCACCTCCCATGCCTATAGCAGGAGCGCCCAGAATCGAATCGATAAGTCGGATCGGCGGAAATCGGCTGCCAAGTCGGGAGAAGTCGAATCGGCGGAAATCGGAAAGTTAGTAGGCCTCCGAATTGGAAGCCGAATCGAATCGGAATCGGAAGCCATCGAAATCGAATCGAATCGGAGGACTCGAAACGAGCCCTGCTAGAGGGACAACAAAACTACACAAACATAAACTGTTGGCGCTCTGCGCGGATTTCTTGGAGCGCCAGGGGCGGCGCCGGAGGCGCTGCCTCGAGGTCCCAGCGCCGATCCGAGAGATCCGCGCGGAGCGCCAACAGCATGTCGCTTTTTCTCCTTCGAACGCCTCTGTCTCGTCTGCGGTCTCGGCCCGGAGCTTGTGGACGGCGGCCTTGCCGTTGTTCTGCCGGGGCGGCTCGAGGCGCGACAGCGTGCAGTGCAGGCACGCAGGATAGGCGAAGATCTGCAACAAGGAACGCTGGGGAACATTCCTGGCCACGGCCTGCGGGTTCCAGGATGCCCCAGAGCCTCTGCGGGCATTGCATGGAGGGTTGGAGATTGGCACCAGCACCAAGACAGGGGGTTGCCTCCACCGGGAGAAGATGATCCTAGATGTTAGTGTCGGTGGTAATCTTTCGGCTACCCATCGGGCCGGACGCAAGGGGGGGACTGCAAAGGGGGGGTTGGGAATCAGCTCACCTAGCTGATTTTCCCGGCGCCTCCCGGCGCCGGAAGGCGCCCATGTATCGAGGAACGGGCCCGGCAGCGGGGCCGAAACCAGCTGCATGCAGCAGATTTCGTAACCCCCCTTTTCCTATCCCCCCCTTTCGTTCGGCCCGAACCTAGCAGGCCCGAATACTACCACCATCCTCATCACCGAGGTTGGGGTCATCTTCCCTCGGTGGAGGCACACCGCCGATATTGGTGCTGGTGTCCACCGCTGGGCCCTCGAAGGCACCTGGGGCCATCGGGGGGTGCGAGGCTTCCGCGGGGCACCTGCTGGCAGGGCCGAGTTCTGATGTGCTGCACCTGACGCAACGGGTAGAACGGAAGAGAGAGAGAGAGTGTGTGTAGGATCCACGCTAGCAACGAAACATCGGGCCGAATAATCCTCTTGTTTGAAACCCGATCGATCCCGATCATGTTCGCACTGGGACAGAGCAGACTGTCCGAGCTGAATTTTCTGTTCCCAAGAATTCGGGGGTTGCCAAAGAAGCCCCTACTCCAGATTTTACCTTAATAGGATGGTGGTCTGCTCCGGGGGGGGTCTGATTCGAGCTGTCTTGGAGGGTTCCAGTGGGGTCTGGGTAAAATTCCGCCCCTTCATGAATGGTCTGAGGGGGTCGAAAACTGCTCGTCTGGAATGGCTGTGCCAGGTGTCCCCAGCTTTTAGAATTTTGGAGCCCCTGGGGCCCTCTGGGCCTCGTCGTGAGGGGTGCTCTGGAGGTCGTGGGGGCTTCCTTGGAACCCATGGGGGCACAACGGGCCAGGGGCACTTCTAGCAACACCCGAAGAAGGGTGCCCCCCCCACCACTCCCTGGAATAAAAACCAGTCTCGACAAAGTTTGCTTCGGATGCCAGCCGACGGTGCAGGACGCCTGCGACGAAGCAGCGGCCTAGAGCGAGGATGGGGGAGGCCAGCACGTGCCGAGGGAGGCAGCGGAGCGCGAGTGCGCGGCGAGGATGACGACTCCTGGCCGCACGACCCCGTGGCACTATTATTGGGGTGATACCAGAAAGAACGCTAAATGAGGAACGCAGCCCCTTCTGGGCACCAGGAGCGCCTAGATGCACGACGAGCGATAGAGGAACCACCACGGCAGGACCCAAGGAACAGCGAGCCCCTTCCAAACCCAAAGCGGTCCTCATGTCAGCGTCTTGGCTGTGCGGTCGGGAACTTTTGCTCAGCGTGTCGCGGCGGCGGCCCCAGAGACACTCGATCCCCTGCAAGCGGATAGCGTGTCTCTCCGCTCCACGGGGCGGGATCGGGGGCGACCAAGAGGGGGGCGTCCAAGAGGGGGGGGGGGCGCAAATCATGGCCGGCGGCATGTGTGCGGCCCAGGGGGGGGGGGGCGGGGACGAATGGAAACAAGAAGAGGCGCCATGAAACCTGGGGAAACATCATGGCCCACGCCATGAGATCCAACCCCGCCCTAGTCATCACCCCCCTCCTGACCGCCCCCCCGACGCTCCGCGGGGCGGGAGGCCCAGAAAGGCTCGGGACGTGGACGCCCAGGAGCGGCGACGTGGGCAGAGTGTCGCGCCAGCACGCGGAGAGCCACGGCTTTGCCGACCGCTGTCCGCCGCTCCTGGCGCCGCCCCACTCCACTTCAACATGCTCGCGCAGGGGCGGCCGCGCGGTGCAAAGTGTGTGTGTGTGTTGTGTGTGTGTGTGTTGTGCGCTGTGTAATGTGTGTGTGTTGTGTGTGTTGTGTGTGTTGTGTGTTTTTGTTGTGTGTGTGTGTGTGCTTGCCGCCGGGCCGGCCTACCCCCCCGCTGCCACACCGCCGCCGATGGCCCCCCCCCTCCCCCCGGCGCCGCCGCTGCGAGCGGGCCCGGCCTCCTCCTCCCTCCTGCCGTCGCCGGGCGTCCCTCCCTCCCCCGTGCATTGCGGCTTCATTCGCACTTGCTCGCCCAACATTTGCTCTTCGGCCAGCGCAGTCACTCTGCATAGCCGCCGACGCAACAAAAGTGTGTGTGTGTGTTTATGTCTGTGTGTGTTTGTGTGTGCTTATGGCTGTGTGTGTGTTTGTGTGTGTGTTTATGTCTGTGTGTGTGTTTGCCGTGAGTTGCAGCTTGAAGCGCTGCATTTCTGTGACAGGGGCGTGCAGCACCCGCCCCCCCCGTGGTCCACGACTCTCGTGGCGGCGCCCCGAGGGGGAGACGAAGCAGCGGGGCGATCGGCGAGCAGCAGCAGCAGCAGCAGCAGCAGCAGCAGCAGCATGGGCAGGAAGCACAGGGAAGACATGATGAGGTCGGGGACCGAAAGGAGAAGAAGCAGGTCGGCAGGGAGGTCGGTCCTCCCAGGTCAGGTGGAGCTCTCCGCCCACGAGCTGTATGTCCGAGATGTGGTGTAATCTAATCAGCTTCATGTGGTCCTGCTTGTCGGTGAAATATGCCAGCCCTGTCGTATGCAACTGGAAATGCCTTTTCTGCCAACCAGCCAACAGCGAAGTGCCCCACTTCTCCAGCATCCCGTCCTTGATAACCTCGCCGAGCGCGCCGTGCATGACCACCGACTCGTGGCGAGTCGCTACTCCTGCAGTCTAGGAACGAAGGAATCCGAGTACAGAATGGAGGGTGGTACTGCACAACAGGGGTACCAATATTAATGCGCACTTGTTCTCATAAATGCATCAGGTACACTGGCGAAGCCACACGTTTCCAGGAGGTTGCGCGGCACTCTAGCTGCACTGATCTTTGGCCAACCGCTCGATAAGGCAATGAAGACAAGGGGCGTGGCGACGAGTCAAGCTTGTAGCTATGGCAAGGGCTCCCTCCTTCCTGGTCGTCCTCTTCTTACATCCTGCTCCTGCTCAAGCCTCATGCCATTCCACCTCCCTTCCTCTGGCTTCGTCTCCTGCTCCTACCGTGCATCCTGCAGCTGACATCTCCCTAACCTCCTTCTCGCAACCCTTTCCTCAACCCATCCCTCCTCACTCCTCAACCCTCACCCATCAACCAACCTGCATCCCCACCTTTCAACCTCAACCTCAACCAATCTTCAACGGCAACCCTTTCCTCAACCCATCCCTCCTCACTCTTCAACCCTACAACTCCTCAATCCTCAACCCTCACCCAATCAACCCAACCCTCAACCCTCCCTTCCTTTCCCAACATCTTCCACTCCTCAACCCATCCCCACCATGCATCCTCCCACCTCGTGCCAAGTTCCTGGAGGCGTGGGCCCAGATCCTGAATTCGGCGATCTCGGGGCCCACGTCCCCAAAGCCTTGATCCAGGATTCCCTAGGCACCCCGCTGGCGTTGGCGACTCTTGGGAAGTCGGTCTGCATTCCTTTCAGAGACACTCTGCCCACTCTGCAGCTGAAAGGTGTCGCGTGATGGGGCGCAATCGAAGCTGCCCCGGCGCTGGACATCGAAGTCGGGAGGGCGGGAATGCGGCGCTCAGACCCTGTCTTTCGGTCGGGCATGACCTCCTACAGAGGGATTTTGAAAGGAACCTAAAACAATCTAAACATATTCAAGCACAATCAAGATACCCGAAACATCGTCCCTGGACTATCTGTGTAGCATCTTCGGATCATCCTCCTTTAGAGAGACATGCCCGACTTAAGCCTATCCGCGCGCGCCCTCGTCAACCACCTGCAGCGCCTTCCGCCAATGTTACGCCGGCTTTCCGCCAGCAGCGCAAAACCCTCGGCTTGCCCCCGCTCGTTTCCTCGCGGACCCTCGCCCGTATCCGCCGAGGCCGAGGAGGCCGAGAGGCGGACACCTCCTCCCTCCCCAAGACGACGGGGAGCCCCCTCCCTGCAACCTCGTAGCTGAGGCCGGGACACTCTCTCTCCTGCGCGCCCTCCTCGGTAGCAAACCATGGGAACCTCGTATGCCCGCTTGGTTCTGTCTTTAGCGTCGACTAGCGTAGATTAGCATCTGGGAGTCGATGGATTAGCGCCAACTTAGCGTCGGCAGGCATCGATGAGCCTCGATTTAGTGTCGACGAGCGTCGATTCGTAAGAGTCGACAAGATTGTATGGGAGTCCCCATGTGCTGCCACCGCACGTCCTACCAACTGTAGGCCCTGGAAACAATAAGGCAGCTCGTTTGACCGCTTCCGCTTTTCAAACTCTTGACCGATTCTGGCGCCGTTCCTTTGGTGTCTCTGGCGCTGTTCTCTTACCGTTGTCGTTTTCCCTGGTGGGTGCCTGGTCCAGAGCAGCGCTTTCGTACCAAACTCGAAACGTTTTTTGTCGAACCGGTTCCGCACGTCATTCGGGCCCCTGCACACCTCGAACATACTCAAACATAGTTAAAGATAGTCCCCGTACGATTTGTTGTTGCTATTTTTGAATAGTGCTCCTGTAGAGGGACGCGCCCGACTTACTTCTAGGATCAAGAAGACGCGCTCGCTCGAAAACGGTTAAACAAGATGCCCCTTCCCCCCTCTTGCCCACGTCCGCCCCTCGATGAGGCCCCAGGGTAGCGTCAGGCCCAGGATGGGAAGGCGCTTCTTACGTCGCAACACGGCAGAGGCAATCCGCACGGGCGCTCGAGTTGTCGGGGGGACACGCGACTACCGCCTTGTCCGGCTGCAGTCAAGGGTGCGCGGGGGGAGAAGCGGCCGCAGAGGACAGGACAGAGGATGAGGGCACTCACGGCTGAGGGGGATGCGAACACGCCCGTCCTTGCCTGTCTTGGGAGCGGGAAGGAGGCAGGAGGACAAGGAGGAGGGCAAGGACTCCTCCTCGTCCTCCTCATCCTCCTCCTCCTCCTCCTCCTCCTGATGCGGTGCCTCTCTCTGCTGCTCCTCGCCCACGTCCTCGTCGGACCCCCCCTCCCTCCTGCCTCGACCAGCCCCCGCTCGCCGGCCCTCGCCCGCAGCGCTGGGCGGCCGGGGCCCTCCGGAGGGGGAGGTCTCCATGGTCCCCGCGGGTGACGACCGTGCTGCGCGAGGCGGTAGTGGCGGTCGTGGCTCGCGGCGCGCGAGAGGCCACGGTGGCACGCGGGGCCTGCGACGGGGTAGCCTCCGCAGCCTCCTCCTGCGCGGAGGCGGAAAGCCCTTCCCAACCGGCCACCCTTGGAGAAGAAGGACAATCTCCATAAACACATAAGCTGTCGGAGCGCAGCGCGGATTTCTTGGATCCGTGCTGGGCCGTCCCTGGCGCGCTCCGCGCGTCTGGGAGGGGGGTCCAGCGCAGATCCAAGAAATCCGCGCGGAGCGCCACAAGTTTATGGTTATAGCGTCTTTGTTTCTTCTACTCTACTCGTGGCGGTGGTGGTGGCCTTCGCCGCACACGAGGACGCCCAGGCCCCCGCCGCCCCCTGCCGTTGTGGAAGCGCCTGCACGGCAGGGCCAGTGGACCACGTGTTGCCCGAGCTGTTGGGAGAAACCGCCGAGGGGCCGTCTTGGAAGTGTCTCGGGCTTCTTCCTGCCTCCTCCTCCTCCTCCTCCTCCTCCTCCCCCCCCTCCCCCCTCCCTCCTCCTCCTCCTCCTCCTCCTCCTCCTCCTCCTCCTCCTCCTTCTCCTCCTCGTGTACCCTCTTGAGGAACTGCTGGGGCGTCGGAGGCTGCTGTGCGGCACCATGGGCCGCCTGTGGGGCTGGCCGGGGCCGTCCCGTACGCCCCGTGTGCTGCTGCTGGGGCCTGCTTGGGCCGTCACGGGCTGGTCTTTCGGGCCGGGCGAGAAGGGGGGATAGCAAAGGGGGGGGGGAAAATCAGCTCACGTAACTGATTTTCCCGGCGCCGGAGGCGGCCATGTATCGAGGAATTGGCCCCTCGGTGGGGCTGAAACCAGCTGCATGCAGAAGATTCCGTACCCCCCCTTTACATATCCCCCCTCTCGTTCGGCCCGAGTCTTGGGAGCCTCCTTGGCCGCCCTCGATGCTCTTACGATCGAGCGGGCGATCATTCGAAAGGCAGTGCAGGTGGCGCGCCGGGGGGGGGAAGTGAGAAGGGGTGGGCCTCCTCAGAACTTCCCCTCCCCTCGCTCGCCGCCGAGTTTGGGCTGTCATGGGCTGGTCTTGGGTTCTTGGGCCGCCTTCGATGCTCTCACGATCGAACGGGCGAAAATTCGCACGGGAAAAATCTATGCTCGGGGCTCGTAGGCAGACCCCGAGGGCCCGGGGCTCCCAAAACGGCCCGGGAGAGCCTCCCAAAGAGAGCCATCATCCTTGACATCCCGGAACAATAGCCGGCCATATTGGTAATTACTATCTTGGTGGTCTGGGAAACTCTTGAAAGACATCTTGGGCCGTGCTGGATCAGACGAGGCCAGGTCGAGGATAACATCGAGCGAGGATGAATCGGGAATCTCCCAGATCTGGCGGCTCTCTGGAGGATGTCTCGAGCGCCGCGGCCTTCGCCCTGGAACGGACTTATCCTCGTCCGAGCCCCGTCGGGTTGGAGCCCATCTTGACCTGTCTTGGCAATCTGGGACACGCTCCCAGACATGACCGTGTCGTAACAAAAATCAGGACGGGCGGTTTTTGTCCAATTTTGGCCTCGGGGGCCCTCGCCGGGCTTCGGCACCGTCAAAAAAAAGACTCAGGATGAAAAACCCGTTCCGGGGAAAAGGTCGGGACTTCCGGGAATGCCGTCCTGAAAAAATCAGAACGTCGCATGTCTGGGATCTCTCTTGATCTTAATGCGGCTGTTTGGAACCGTGCGTCCTATGGGGGAGGGGCCCCACCTGCTCGAAACAGGCGCCAAATACAGCCAAGATCTACTCTAGGGGGGGGGGAGGGCGGGTTTGGGGGCCCGCGCCGATCGGCAAAACAAGGAATAAACAAACGATCACTAGACGAGACTTGCTCTACAGTCTGGCCCACCAGGCACCACAGCAGCCTAGGGGGGCGGCGGATCGAGGACACCTCCAGCGAATCACCGCCGCTCGCTGCCTTCTATGACTTCCTGGCTTGCTGCATTGGCAGGGATGGCAGAGGATTGCGAGGTTTTGAATAGGGCCTAGAATGTTCGTGCGACTTCGTCCCGATGCTCTTTTTTGGCTTATTGTTCGTCCTTCCCCTCTCCGTGTTCACTTTCCTCCAGGTTCAAAGTACTTTCGTTCAGTTGTTCCTGATGTACCACACCCCCCCCGCTCCCTGTGCGGTGGAATATCGGACGTCAGTGCGGTGAGCCGCGCGCTGCCAGTGGTGTTGGGGAACCCACTGGGGGAATGCTGGGGAGGGGCCCTGTTGGGCCGTCCTAGGGCTGTCCTGGGGATGTGTTATGTCCTTGGGTCTTCTCGGGGGCCTCCTGGGGTACTCTCGGGCTATCTTCGGTGGGCCGTCTGGAGACGCTCTTGGGACGTCCGGCGCCTCTTGGAGCCATCTTGGGGGGGCTCTCTGGATCGTCGTGGGCATCTCTTGTGTCTCTTCAAGGCCGTCTTGGGGCTCTCTTCTGCCGTCTTGTGGGTGGCTGATTGGGGGTCATCTGCGCCGTCCTAGCCCAAAAGGGCTTCCTGGGCCCACTTGGGCCATCTGAAGACAAAGGAAGGCGAGAGCCAGATAAATATCTACTAATCGATTGAACATCAAAATGATTTACCCCAAGAGGCCCTCCTGGTGGTCTACTTGAGTCTTGGAATCTTCGTGTGCCGTCCTGGAGGCCTCTTAGAGACATCTTCAAAGCATCCTGGGCCGTTTGCGGGCATCCGTGGGCATCTGGGCACACCGTGGAAGGCATCAGGTACCGTGTCTGGCCGCCCTGCTGACCGTCTATTGGCAAGTTGGCAATCTTCGAACTGAATTGTCTTGAGTTGGTTGTTCTTCCACTGCATTATGCGTGCCCAGCGGTTCGGGCAAAAACACAAATTTACCAGTCGGGAGCTTCTGGAAGCTCGGGAATGGATTCGAAACGCGGGCACAGCAAGCACCCCTCCAGCAGGCCACAGGGGTGACGGATACGCCTGCGGCGAATCACGGTCGCCCCCTGCAATTGCTTGGGAAGCGCCTATGTGGCCAAACGTCTGGCTAGAGCTGCACCAACCTACCGGACTACAGATGTATTCCACCAGCCGCTCTGGAAACTCTTCGGGGAACCGTTGGGGAGGACGAGGGGGAGTGTCGGGAGAGGGAGGAAGAGGAGGAGGACTCTTGGGCGTCCCCCCCTTGAGGCACTCTTGGGGCCTCTTGGGAGCCTTCTGGCGGCCTCTGAGCGGCCTCTTTGGGGCCTCCTTGGACTTGCCCGTCTTAGGGCCTTCATGGACCGTCTGACACCTTCGGAAGCCATCTGGGGGGTCTCTCTGTGCCGACTGGGTGGCCCTCGCGGGGCGCTGCAAGGCAGTCTTGGAGGCCATCTTGGGCGTCTTGGAAGCCTCGTGAGCCGTCTTGAGGCCCTCCCGTCTTGGGCCGCCAGGGGGTCGTCTCGACAGCCTCCTGGGCGATATGTGGGGCCTCTTGGGCCGTGGAACGGTAGAAACAACACCAATTCCACGACCCTCCAACAGCCGCAGGAAAATCCATGATTCGTAGCTCCTCGGGCCTTCCAGAAGCACGCACCCCTTGGAGGTCCCTTTGGGTCGTCTCGGAAGCATCTTGGGGGGCCTGTTGGATCGTCCTTGGCCATCTTGGTGCCATCCTGGGCCTTCTGGGGGTGCATCTTGGGCCGCTTTGGGGACCTCGTGGGACTATCTCGAGCTCTCTTGCGGGGGTCGCACGGGAAGTCCCGGAGGCCATCATGGCCGTCGTGGAGGCCATCCTGGGCCCAACTTAAGCGAGGGGGTCAATGGAGCCAGACTTGTCCGAATGGCTGGCGCGCTAGGCCGACGGCCTAACACTTTTTCCGTCGGCGGCGAGGCAGAGGTGGCTGCACAAGCGCTAGGGCTAAACGGGGGCACCGAGAAGCGAATTGGTCAGAACGCAGGAAGAAATCATTCTAACACATGGCACGCTCCCCTGCGCCCTTTGCAAACAACAGGGGGCGGCGGACCGAAGACGCCTACCGCGAATCACCGCCGCCACCTGCCCTTTGCAAGCGCCTATATGGCCGGTCGTTGAGGTCAGAGCTCGGCCAACCTATCGGACCATGTGCTCCACAAGCTGTAGTGGAACCCTTTCGGGGAACACGTGGGGCAGAACAAAGGGAGAGGAGGAGAGGGCCGACATCGACCGAGGATGTGGAGCCTCTTGTTAGAAGCACAAAAAACAAACACATAAACGATTGGCGCTCCGCGCGGGTTTCTTGGATCTGCGCTGGACCTCCCTCCATGGCGCGCGGAGCGCGCCAATGGCGGCGCCGGAGGCGCCGCCGAGGGGGGCCCAGCGCGGATCTAAGAAATCCGCGCGGAGCGCCAAACAGTTTCTGTGTATGGAGTTGATTCTTTATCGACATGTGGTGCTGTTGTGGGCCTTGTGGGAGCCTCCCATGGGGGCTCTTGGGACCTCTTCTTGGGGCGCCCCTGGGCCTCTTGGCCGCACGAGGCGCCCGCGAGGGGCCCACGGATAGGGCACCGAGCGAAGCCTCTCGACCCGCCCCACCCCACCGCACGAGGCACCCACGGGCGGGCACAGGGCAACAACACCTCGACACGTTTTGTCCGTCGGCGGCGAGGCGGAGGAGGAGGAGGAGGAGGGGGAGGAGGAGGGGAGGAGGAGGAGGAGGAGGAGGTGGAAGAGGAGGAGGAGAGGTGGAGAGGAGGAGGAGGAGGAGGAGGAGGAGGTGGGGGAGGAGGAGGAGGAGGTGGAGGAGGTGGTGGTGGAGGAGGAGGAGGAGGCGGAGGAGGGAGGGGGAGGAGAAGGAGGGAGGAGGAGGGAGGGATGAGGGATGAGGGAGGAGGGAGGAGGGAGGAGGGAGGATGAGGATGAGGAGGAGGAGGAGGAGGAGGAGAAGGAAAGTCTGAGCAGGAGGAGCAAAAGAGGAGACTCAAGGCAATCCGCACCAGCGTGGGGCTCATCGGGGGACACCGGTCACAACATCTCGCCACACCCCCAAGGGGCACGAAGCGCCGAGGGGGCACCCACGGGGGCGGCCATGGGCGGACACCAGTGGGAAACTCGGCACGCCGACCCAGCGCACGAGGGCGACGAGGGAAACCTCGCCAGACCCAGCCAGCGCAAGGCGCCCAAGGGCAATCATCAGCAACAGCATCGTCAACACCATGATCACCAGTGTCGCCATCATCGCAGTCACGATGATCCCCACCGTCATCACCCTCATCATCGACATCATCATCGTCGCTGTCGTCACATCACCACAAGCGGCACCACCGCAATCATGGTTGTTACCGTTGCCATCTTCATCGCGTTCCTGCTCTTTCCTCCCCCGTCCGTCCTGCATGTTGCTGAGGAGGCCCTTGATCGTGTCGTCCTTGCCTTTCTGGCACAGGCCACAGCCGTTGCCCCCGCAGGCCAGGCAGCCCTGATTGACCGAGCATCGATGATCCAGCATCGAGGTTTGACCACTTGATCGAGAACCCCAAATCGAGCACCGAGGGTGCAAGATCGTTTCTGAGCCGACCTTTGGATAATGTATGGGCCGCCTTGAGCGTTCTCGTCGCCATGGCCGCATCCGTCTCGAAACCCTTGCCAGAACGCTTCCAGAACATGTGCGGGGCCTGGTTTGAGCATGGCCCCTCCAGCGTCGCCAAGAAAAGAAGTGTAGTGATGGCTGGCTCACTTTACGAAACACTTTCCCCTAAACCCGAAATACTTGGACCGAGGTCTTTGCATGACTCCTCAAACGTCTCTCCTCCCCGCCACCTCACTTGTCCCTCCCATACTGTGACTCATTCACACCAAGACCATCCATATTCAGACCCCCCTTCACACCACATAATTTTTCTCATACCCAGATTTGCTCGGACCCGCTCCAACTGAGACCATTCATACCAAGACTCACTGACACACAGGCTTACTCACATTTCAGGCTCACTGTCAGGCTCCGATTCACCCATGAATGCTCACACATAGGCGAATTCATACTCTAGCTACCTGTCTGTCAGAGTCAACCGTGATCAGAAAACTCGTACGCAGACTCATTCACACACGGTCTTGCTCATACTCAAACCCACTTACAATCAGAGTGCTTATACTCAACGCGTTAACGACCAGACTGAATCATGCTCAGTCGTACTCAGACTTCGTCATACTCACCACTCGCAGCTAGACCCACTGTAACAAAGACAGTGGTCATGGAGATGCGAGAGTTTGCTCGACGTGCTCCAACCTGGCTCTGAGAGGGCCCAACATGTTCCCAAGAGGGTTGAAAGAGAGCCTCAAACACGTTCAAAAGTGCCCCCAAAGAGCCTACTAAATCAACTGCCCATGGACGCCTATGTCGAGAGGTCCGTGAAGGCAGATATCCAATGTGATGACGACCTTCTCCTTGTTCCACTGCTTTCTCCAACACTTCCCTGGTCAAAGAAACTCACCCCAGCTTCGTTTTCTGGATGGGCTGGAGAGGATACTTTTTGGTTCGCGGCTCCAAGGCGAGGGACAGGGAGCAAGCACAAGGGCTGGAGAGGATACGCGAAGCATCAAGACTCTGCTTGAGCCCCTGGAAGGTCGTATCCGCCCCGAGGAGCATCAACAGACGAACCGCTGCGAACAGAACAGGTTCCGAGGATGGGTCAGGAGTTCTGGGGCCCTCGTTGAGCAACAATTACGACGGGTTCAAAGTTTGGGGAAAAAGGCAAGGCCGGGGCCCGAATGCAGAAACATTTGCCCCCAAAACCTCCCGCCGTGGCTGTTTGTCACTGCGGCTGGGGGGAACCTCGCCTCGAACGGGGTCTCCACGGGGCCACCCAGGAGTCCACCAGCACACCGCCGTATCCGCGAGTGGAGGAACGAGAACAAACAGGAACACGCCTTCGCATTCAGGAGCAGAGGAGGACAACAACCGTGCAGCATGTGGGGGAACCAGGATGAACGTAAACGCGCCTTCGCATTCAGGAGTAGAGAAGAATGGCGGCGACCGTGCAGCAGGAACACACAAGCTTCCGGGGGCCCGCGCAAACTTGTTGGAGCCGCGCTGGCCTCCCACCCAGCGCCCTTCCAAGAAATCCGCGCTGAGCTTCGAATAGGATTCAATCTGGCGCGTCCCCCTACAGGCGGATGCTTAGACGGAAAAAAAACATAATAGTCAGAAATACCCCAAAACAGTTCAAAGATATTAGAAACATCGTCCCCGTTTGATTGATATTGTGCTATTCTTGAATGTCCCTCCTGTAGAGGGACAAGCCCGACTTAAGAGTGGGGCGGGAGAGGATGGACCTGGTCTGGGGGAGGGCAGAAAGCAGCACGCGGCTGTTCAGGACTCGCGCAGGGCTGGTAAGCAAACGCCAGTTACATGGGTCGGGGTGGTTCTTCCTCTTTCCATAAGAAAGGGAGATGGGATTGGCGGACCCACGAAAGTCCGGACCCCTTCCAATGGGCCGGCCTTTATGATGAGTCGCTTCTTGACCGCCCCAAGGCCTGGCGAGGGCCCTCAAAGGCCGAAAACTGTCAAAAACGCCAGTCGTTATTTTGTTCACGATGCGAGGCGCGCGTGTCCGGGAATCAAGGCCCCGTAGACCCAGACACGCTAGACTGGGACATCCAACGTCCCTCGAAATCATGTTTCCAGACGGCGGCATGAAGCAAAAACTGCACTGCAACACTTCTGGAGTAAACCCTGACACAGGTCCACAAAACATGCAAAACACCCCTAGACCTGGACAAGGACCCGAATCCTGCAGCGCAGCAACAAAAGTCTGCACTGGACGACCAAGCCTGACTTTGCAGGATAGGGTGTGGTTTCCCCGACTTGCCAGCGTCCTGGGTAGTCTGTGTCTTGGTCTCCGGGGGCCTGAGGTAGAAGAGGACAAACACGGTATAAACATAAGCTTTTGGCGCTCCGCTCGGATTCCTTGGATATGCGCTGGACCCCGCTCCCTAGCGCGCGGAGCACGCCAGGGGCGGCGACAGAGGCACCGCCGGGGGCCACAGCGCGGATCCGAGAACTCCGCGCGGGGGGGGCACAAGTTATGTTTATAGTTTTTCTTCGTCGACGGGAGTCTGTGTCCTGGTCTCGGGGGGCCTGAGGGAGAGGGTTGGCGCGGAGCGAGGGGGGGAATTGAGAAGGAGAAGGCCTTCTCAGAAAGCGGCGGGACTTCTCAGAAGTCCTCGCGCCTTCTGAGCAGTTTGCTGTGTCTTCGGGGAAGACTTAGAAAACTTCTCAGAAGGCCAGGGGGGGCTTCCGAGCCTTCTGGGAAGGCCCGCCCCTTCTCACTTCCAACCCGCGACCCCCGACGTCATGATATTTTTCAACACGTCGACCCCAAGAGGTCTCGACCCATTCCCCGTGGGTCCGGCTTCTCATCCTGAGTCGTTCTGTTGACGGTCCCGAGGCCCGGCGAGGGCCCCCAGATGCCGGAAATGGCAAAAAACTTCCGTCTCGAGGCCGAAAATGGCAAAAAAACATGCCGAGAATGACCCCAAAAACGCAACGACTTTTTCATTGCTCGAGGGGGTCTGGGCCACCACGCTTGCCACCGACACGGGGAACGGGACTGCCGGGCGGGCGTGGCGCGCACCCCTCACTCCCTGACCTTCCAGGAGGGCTGAATAATAACACCAGGACCTCGACACCTAAATTCTTGTCCACGTTTTGGCCAGTCCAGATCGGTCTACAGGTCTGGTAGCACTCTGGAAGGTCAGGCTTCTTGGCCCGCCCAGCACGCCTCCGACATGCCGCCGTGGCCGCCCGGCCGCGCGCGCGAGGGTGGTCCCGCTGCCGGGGCGGGCCCAGCTCGGAGCCAAAATACACGGCCGCGGGCTTCACGGGCAGATCGGCACGTGGAGCGGCGAGCTCTGCCGAGGGACAGGAGCAGGTGCGACCGCAGATGTTGCTGTGTCGGAGGGCCGCTGTCGCGGCCCGAGATCGTCGAACGTCGACCTGGGCTCGAAGGCTTGGCCCAGTGGACCCCGGGATGGGTCTGGGGACGGGATTTTGGAACGGGTGTCACAGAACGCATTGGATACCGAACGCCAGCCCATCTGCAATCACATGGACACGTTCAGCGCGGAACATCCGCCCCTGTCTGCATGGGGTCGCAGGCGCGGAGACCGAAGCGCGAGGCCGTGATCTCCCACGGCGACGCGACGACGGCAGCGAACGTGCTGCTGCAGCCAGGCGCGGCGAGCCAGGGGGGGAAGTGAGAAGGAGAAGGCCTTCTGAGAAGCCCTAGCGCCTTCTGAGAAGTTGTCTGTGTCTTCGGGGAATACTTAGAAAACTTCTCAGAAGGCCGGGGGGGCTTCCGAGCCTTCTGGGAAGGCCCGCCCCTCCTCCCTTCCCCCCCTTGCTCGCCGCCGAATGCAGGTCGTGGTAGCGGGGCGGTGGCGATCTGTGCGCCTAGAAATGGCGCCACTGAGCGCAATGAGGCGAATGGTCGAGCTCTGACGGGTTCGACAGTGGCTCAGGGCGGACAAGATGGTGACAAATACTGATCTGGAGATTGATAGACTGCACGCGGCACCGAGAGAAGGCACCGCGCACACAGCAATGACGGCCAGGCGAGGACAACGCAACAAGCAAGGCTTAATCCTCAAACAGGCTCACTGGATGCATGGGTCGCACGGCGTGGTACTCATAGCATAGTACTGTGCGACAGCGAGAGCGCCATGGTTCTTAGCAGTCGCGCAGCAGGGAAGCATCACGCAAGACAACCTGAGGGTGGCTCGCGGGGCAACGCTGTACCAGGGAGTCTGGGCGGCAGGACAGGACGACTGCATGAGGACCACGGTAGAAGGGACTGGCACAAGGGGGGGGAACAGCGACCTGATCTCGGCGATACGCTGCCGACGGTCGGCCTCGGGCCCCCGATAGCGCAACTGCACGTTCTTGTCGGGAGCGCGCAAACATGGTTAGCGATCCATGCATTTGGCGCGCGGTCGCCAAATCCATGGATCGGGGAGGCGCCCTCGCCAAAATGCGGCAGGTACCGCCTCGCTCGGCGGCGGAAATCCGCGACTTCCTGTGGAAACGGGAGCCGTGGCTAGTCCACGCCCCCTTGATCCATGTTCGCGATCGCCTGGTCTTGGGCGGGGCGGGCTGTCAGGCCCTATCGGTAGTCAATGGGCGATGTGGAGGTCGACGCATCCCCCCCCCCTGAGTCTATCCCAACCTGCCGTTCGATTTTTGGATCATAACTCGGGTCTCCGGCGGCCGGTGGCGACGATCCAGGCACCCTGTAACGCCCTCGGCGAGGCGCAGCTGCTGGAGAGCAGCCCGCGGCTGGAAAAGCGCCAAGAATGAACGAAAGCGCAAGACAACCTCGCCTTTCGAATCCGAAACCGTAACCTCTCCCCCTGAGCATACCCCACCCTGCCGTTGCCTCCGACTGCATAGGACTTGAGCGATGTTTTCCACGATGGCCCCAGTGCTCCCACAATGACTCCAAGAAGACCCACATATGGCCTCAGGAAGCCTGCGCGAGCGAATGACCCGCGAAAGCCTTGATGGATGGCCGCCGTCGCCGCCGTCGTCGCAACCGTCGCCATTATCTTTCAAATCAGAATCCTCCTTGCACCGCTTCACTTTCCTTCTCCTCTTCCTCCTCGTCGTCTT